ATCAGCTGATCGTCTCTCTTGTTTGTTTATCGCTCACTTTGCGCCAGAAAGAGGAAACCAGCGGATGTCGCGCTAAACAACAGCAGCACGTTTAAGCTTGATCAGCTGTTAGAATTTATTTAATATTAATTTCTAGTATCAGCTGATGTTTGCTGGAGCCACAGCTGCAAAGCTGCTGGTCATGATGTCTGTTTGGATATGTGGTGAGAGGGAAACATGAAGATGAAACCAGGAGATGTCCTTACTGAACCATCAGAGCTGAACAGGTGATGGAGAAACAGGTTTACCTTTTAGGTGACATGAATGAGTTGAAGTTATCAACTGCTTCTGAGAGATAAATAACACCAGCATCCTTTTCTAAGCAGCTGACAGCTGGTAACTGTGCAGGGACGGGTCTAGCAAAGTTTTGCCAGGGGGCCAGGTAGGGCATTAACAGGGAAAGGGGGGGCACAAAGAAATACTTTTCTTTCTTATTCTCATTTAACATACCTAGTTTTTATTAAATAATTATCTAAATCTTACAACCAAAGTTTTTATCTGACGTAAAATGTATAGAAATCATACATATACCAACAAGACTGTACATCACTGTCACAACAGCGTTTGTTTTCAGTCAAAGTCTTTATGGCTTTACTACCTGGTGGGTCGGTCTGTAGTAAAAATGCCCAATTTTTTTTGTCCCAGTCCAGCCCTGCAGGTTAATACTGGCAGTGTCACCATGCCAGCTGACTGGATTTCATCATCAGCCAGTGTTGTTCTTTATCAATATTACCAAAGTTTACCATAAGGCAGCATAGCAAGTATTTACTTGCTTTCAGGTTTTATTCAAATGTTAGTCTTTTCATTTGTTTCCCCACTTTTTTCCTGTTTCAAAATCAAACACCAGTTTGTGAGAAGATTATCTTCTTTTTTTAACAGGCAGATAAAGTTTTACATTGGAACTGGATAATTTGTCAATTGTTTGTTACAAATGTTCGTATTTTAATTTTCAAAAATGTTTTTGCCCAAAACATATGTGCACTACATGTCAGTAAAAATACTATGCAAATATTGATGTCCTTGACTGCTGAATAAACACTGACTGATTGTATCTCTTGTACTTTATCAACGCAGTATCTAAAAACTTTGCACCGTAGTGGTTAAAATCTCATTCTAATAAGAGTTAAAAGTGCATTTGGTTATTAGGTTTATAGGATTATTGAATTATGGTTAACGGTTGGTAGAATTTTTTTTTTAAACATTATCTGCCAATTAAATCTGCCACCCTTCTCCAAATCTGTGCCCCTACCTGGCCCCCCCAACAAACATTTTCTAGACACGCCACTGGTTGGAGATGCTCTGTATCTCATTGTACAACTGTAAACACACAGGATAGAAATACAGATTAAACGGGGGAAAGTAACACAGACACACTGAATAATTAAATAAGACATTAAAATATTACAAATATTCATGTTTTCAAAGCTTTCTTGTTGAGACAGGAACAAACTTTCTGTTTCTGTCCTGAGAGTGGACAGCTTACATTTACAGATGTGGAGTTTGATCGATGAGGGAAAAGCATGTGAGTCTTTCTCACTAAAGTCAGTAAAACCAAATAACACGTTTTGGTAAAAAAAAGTACAAATTCTGATCAGATGCTGTCAGAGATGAAACTAACGATATGTTTCCATAAAACCTGAGTAAAGCTAAATGTTTCTGTATCGCTCTTCTGTTTTTGAAGGATTTAAACTGGACCCTGAGACACACTGACAGGTGTGATGTCATCACGTCAGCCGCTACACTGGGCAGCCTGTAGGTGATGACGTAATCAAACATAAACAAACCACAAAAGTGTAAACTAACAGTCTGGTAAATGTGAAAGAGGTCACCTGTGCAGCCAGGTGACAGGAAGGAGCTGAGGACTGATGCTGCTGTTGTATAAAATCACCAAATACTCCGATGATTTTACCCCTTTATAAACTTTTTTACTCTGTTGTTTAAATGAGGTTTTTTAAATAATGTTTTTTATTAAGAGTTTTTTCTTTATACATATAAACAAAAGGAGAAGAGAAGGATAGTTTGTACATTTGGGGTCATTAGTCCGTACACTTAAGGCTGTAGAATTTAGGGGGAAAGGAAAATAAAGAAAATAAATACACAGACACATCTACTGTATATGTGTAAAAATAAATAAAGTGTTTCCCCAGATAACAAAGTCCCTGCAAAATAATCCCATTCATTCCCCCCAGGTCACTGTATTTCCACAGCTGACATGAGGCAGGTGCATGAACCTGAAAAATTGGTATAGATTTGGAAATGCATCAAGGAAACGACCCCGCATGACACGACATGAGGTCATATAACCCCCGTGTGTGTGAGTGGGAGAGGCAGCGTCCCTCCACCTGGAGGGTGAATGATGGCTCCCGTCTTTTAGAGGCACCTCATTCCCACTGATGCCAAACAGAGCGAGAAGAGGGTCGGGGCCAGTGTCACTCTGAGAATCCTGGACAGGGTATGAAAAACCTCTGTCAGGAACTGAAGGAGACTGGGACAAGACCAGTACATGTGGATCAGTGAGGCTTCAGCAGTTTGGCATCTGTCACAATATGGAGCGATATCAGGAAAGACACGAGATAATCTGGATGTTTAAATAAAGTTTGTTTGTGAGGTCACACTGAAGCAGCTTTATTTAAAAGAACTACAACTGCTAAATTGTCCGAGGTTTCCCATCTGCCTGCATCACAGGAGGCAAAAGTAGAGATGTTCTGTACTGCAGTAGAAGTACACGCACTAGTGCTGACAATACTGCAGTAAAAGTACTGATTGAACAATCTCATTTGTTGTCAGAACTTCAAAAAATTATGCAAATTTGTTGCCTCAAAAAAATAAAAATGTACTTAAGGTGACTAGGTTAGGACAAAGTATTCACTGAGTACACAGTACTAAGAACTGGACTTTTCTGAGTGAGCAACTCTAAATGTTTCTCCACTGACACTAACAAAGTTCTAAATTAAAAAACAATTTATGGTAACTTACTGTTTTTAATTTGGCTGACATACAAATTAAACGCCTCCAGGGTGAGGTGTTCGGGCATGTCCCACGGTTAAGGAGGCCCTGGGGCAGACCCAGGACACGCTGGCCTGGGAACGCCTCAGTGTTCCCCCGGACAAGCTGGAGGAGGTGGGCGGGGAGAGCGAGGTCTGGGCTCCTCAGCTGAGGACCCGGTGACCCGGCCCGGATAATCACATTATGTTTTATCATCCTTGAACGTTCAGTACAACACTTGACATTAGAGGTGGGAATCACCATACATCCCACGATACGATATTATTGCAAATGTTTAGAATATTTTGCGATATTCAGATTCTGTACATAAAGGTAAACTTTATCAATATTCATTTTATCTAATATCAAAGTCAGAATAAAGGCTGAATAATTACACACACCCCACTGTTCAGTTATTTATTTGTAAAACATGTTTGGAATCATGTATGATTTCTGTTCCACTGCTCACGTGTGCACCACTTTGTGTTGGTCTTTCACGTGGAATTCCAATAACATTGATTCATGTTTGTGGCTGTAATGTGACAAAATGTGGGAAAGTTCAAGGGGGCCGAATACTTTTGCACGCCACTGTATTTTAGCTTCCACCCTTCACTTTGTTGACAGCGCTGCAAACCCTCGGCCTTCTCTCAGTGAGCTTCCTGATGTAACCTGAAATGGTTTCACCTCACAGGTGTGCCTGTCAGGGTGCACTGGTGGAGCTGGGACCATCAGTTGTGTTATGAAGCAGTCAAGTGGGTACACAGCTGACATCCTGTTTGACAACTGTTAGAATAAATATTAGAACCAATCAGCTAAGTAAAGAGAAACAACAGTCCAGCATTACTTTAAGAACTGAAGGTCAGTCAGTCTGGAAAATTGCTAAAACTTTGAATGTGTCCCCAAGTGCAGTCACAAAAACCATCAAGACTACGATGAAACTGTCTCACATGAGGACGCCCCAGGAAAGCAAGACCAAGAGCCCCTCTGCTGCTGAGGATACAGTCATCTGAGTCACCAGCCTCAGAAATCACAAGTTAACAGCAGCTCAGATCAGAGCCCAGATAAATGCCACACAGAGCTCCAGCAGCAGACACATCTCTGCATGTTCAGAGGAGACTGTGTGAATCAGGCCTTTACGGTCAAATAGCCGCTGAAAAACCATGACTAAGGAAATGCAACAAGCAGAACAGATTTGTTTGGACCAAAAAACACAAGGAGTGGACATTAGACCATCTGTGCTTTAGGCTGATGAGTCCACATCTGAGATCTTTGGTTCCACACGCTGCACGTGATGGTCGAGCTGCAGACTCACTGCTGAAGTCAAACCTGGGCTCAGTCTGTGCAGCAGGATCAGATGTTAGTGTGCACAGAACAATAACACTGCTGCAAATCTGTGTGCTGCCAATAAAGCTGTGTTATAATCGATGCTGCTCGTCAGCGAAACAGACCTCAGGCCTTCCTCGAACCTAACCTGTTCGCATCATGGGTTACCATGGCAACTTACCCCGGTGAGAAGGGAAGCACCTTTGTGGTACAGAGTGTAGGGTAGCTGGATACATGGTAGTGCAGGCCGCTGCTCCTGATGATGATGTCAGGATAAGACAATCTTGGCTTTGCTGAACTCATGTCATTGTGCAGGTTCCAGGTCAGCTGACAGTCGTCCACCAATCACTGCTAAATGCAAACTAGCTTACAAATACTGGCGGCATCCTGGATGCACCTGTGGTAAGAACTCCCACATCGCTTCTTTCACAAACGTCAAAGTCCACCCCGCCCCATGTGACCTCATCCTTTCACCGCTGACGGGTGAATATGATTGGTTGTTTGTGTAAAAACTATAAATTTGAGCAGAAGCACTTTCTTAACTGCTCTCACTCTTACCTGCCCGTCATTGCTTCTTCTTCGTGTGTCGTATTGGTCGTGTCTGTCTGTTGGAGGGTCAGCTCGCCATAGAACGAAATGATTATTAATCCTCAGCCGTTCACATGAAACATTTTAATAACAACTGGAATCATTTTCACATTTCTGCAAATCAAAGATGAACGTTCAGAGAATACAGATCCAGGTTTTACTTTGAAAGGTCCATACAGGAAGTGATGCTCCTGGTGTTCCTGCTGTCCGTGTGTCACCGCGCGCGATACCGCCACACAAACGAGCGTCCGCACACTTTTGGCACTTTCTTCATCTCAAATGAAAGACGCCTGGCAGAGTGACATCATCACTACATTGACCTGGACATCGGGTCGGCGTTCCAGGAAGTACCAACTGATGACGACATGTTTTTGTTTACATGATCAACACAAACACGTAAACACGAAGTCCATCAAACCGTCGCAACAAAGGAGGAAACTAATCATCTGCGTTCATCTCAGTCGTCTTTTGATTGGTGGACGTCCAGACTGACGACCTGCAGCTCGGTCAGGTTGTTGCTGCTCTGTTGACTGATGACCATCTAAACAAACAAACAAACAAACAAACAAAGTGTCACTGCAGTGAGCGCAGCCATGTTTACAAACATTCACATACTTGTGTGTACATAAACGTTTTGTAATCTTTTGACCTCGTTTATCTCGTGTTTGGTTACATTGTCTCCCTGTTCAGCACGCTGCCGACACTCGATGTCTTTTAAACGTGCTTTACAAGTAAAACTGACTTGGCTCGATGTTAACGGCCGCCTGCAGGGATGTGCGTGAACGTGTCATTAATGTGTCATGTGCAGTTGGTGTGCAGTTGGCGTGTTGTGGTACCGGGTGCAGCTGGACTGCAGAAACTGGGATCTGAGTGGTGCCTGGAGGAAGAGAGGTGAGGAAGACCTGCGGCACGGCGGCTGAAAGAAGAAAAGAGTTTGTGGTTTTTCTGAAAACGTTTTCATTTCAGCAAATATTAACAGTCGGTCACCTGGGTCATGTGACTGGGTGTGGCCTGCTGGAGAGAAGGTGTTGAGGACTGTGAGGCTGCCGTCGCCCAGCGAGGGCGTTGGTGCGGCATACATCACCGTGTGACTGCCTGGGTACATCATGTGACCTGCTACCGAGGAAGAGGAGGAGGAAGGGGAGGAGACGATGGAGACGGGAAGACTTGCTGCAGAGAGAGGAAGATGGTCAGGTTGGCGATGCTACGTTAACCCGTTACGGAACGTGTCTTTGTGTTCATACCTGTGGAGGAGGCGGGGCTCTGCATGTCAGAGCTGCTGTGATTGGCGGTTGCCTGCTGGCTGCTGGTCTGTACTTGGATTGTCTGCAGCTGCTGAGAGACTCCAGGTCCTGATGACACAAAGAGGGCGGAGCTAACATTCACCTGTTGGCAGGCAAGCTAAGGAAAACGCACCGATTGACAGGAGGACGGCGTAGCAGTGTGCTGACCTGACAGCGACACGGTTGCAGGAAGCCGCAGCAACGTAGCTGGCTGTGTGGGTGGAGCATGCAGCGTGGGGGTGGGGCCTGGGGCCACGGGGCCCTGGATGGCCAAAGACTGGCCCTGCAGCTGGCTGAGGGGGATGGTGTGTGCACCCGGAGGCAGCGAGCCACCTGCAGACAGGTCAAGGGGTGAGTCCAGAGACAGATTAGCTGAATAAAAGCAGCAGGAAAGCCAAAAGTGTGTGGACAGGTGAAAGACCAGCAGGTGCTCTGGTGGCCATTGAAATGTTTACTTTTACCTGCCAGCTAAGAAACAACACAAACACGAGCCTTGTGTCAGCAGTTGACTCCGCCCACCTACCTGACATCAAAGTAAAGCCTCCAGGAAGCACCACCCCGGCTGATGTCTTCAGCAGCGTCCCATTGGCAGTCGAGGACGGCGGCTGCCAGGTGGGGGCGCTGGTCTGCACCTGCAGGGACGCTGAGGATGAAGAGGAGCAGGATGTGGAGGAGGAGGAGGAGCTGGCCAGGCTGAAGGCCGGTTTGACCAGATCCTGCAGACACACGACATCTGTATTTAAGGAGCGGGGCTAAAAGCGCTGATCCCGACATTTAAGTAACAGCACCTGGACGCTACCTTGGCAGCCTCGGAGCAGCCGTCAGCTTCTGACACCTGATAGCTGAGGTCGGTCTCCTCGAAGCCCGTGGCGCTCATCCTCTGGTCGGAGGAGGGGTCGGAGCGCGGCGGCGAGTCTGGCGAGTTCAGGCAGGTCTGGATCAGAGCTTTCCCCGTCTCTGACGTGATCATCGGCTGCAGCTTCCTCGTGGCGAAGGTGTACACGTGGCCCGTCTCGCTGGCAACAAGCAGCAACACCTGCGTACCTGTGAGCGTGGACAGCTCGTACGCCTGGGTGGGGGAGCAGGTACAACAGGTGAACACGCTATCGGTCTAAACACACCTGCAGACATGGTGCAGTTCCTGGAGTGAACAGCTGACTGATGCTGTACCACTAACCTCACCTGTCAGATAAACTGAGCTGAAAGCAGAGACAGTGGCTCATCTGTATTTATTGAGTTTTACTCACTGAGCTCTACTGTATTCTACTTTGATTTTTATTGACTGATTCTACCTGCTGCACCCTGCTGGCTCCAGCCAAACTTCACCTGTCTACAGGTGAGACGCTCCTAAAGAACCTTACTGAACGCTCAGACACACCTGCAGACCTGAGCTGGTACAACGTCACCCTTTTTAGCCTCCACCTGCTCCCGAGCCTCCAGGTGAAGCTCTGCAGGTGAGAACAGGGTGATGATACACCTGTGCTCTGTGGCAGGTGAAGCTTTCATATACTTTTGGATTTTAGAAGCTTAGATTGAGACGAAACGTGAAAATTTCAATGTCAGAGTAAACCCACAGATGACCTCTGACCCCTGCTGCCTCTCACCTTCTTCATGATGCCGGTCTTCCTCTTGCTGAAGGTGGTGTACCTCCGCAGCTTGTTGTCTATGAACTCCATCTTGATCTTCACCCTGCCTCGGGTCTTCTTGCCGGGCTTCACCCCCGCCGCCCCGGGCCTCAGACCACTGTACGCCCCGCTGAGGCCTCCGGAGCTCTGCGCCGCCTGATGCCCGACCTCCCGCTCGCTCCTCTCCCGCTTCACGCCCCTCCGGTCCCCACCCAGGCCCCCCGTGTCATCGTCCTCCGCGGAGTCCGAGTCCTGGTCGGAGCCGCTGAACGCCCCCTCGGCGCTGTAGTCCCGGTCCTCCGGCGCCCCCTCGCCAGTCTCCCGGGCCGTGTCCGGTTCCGGTCCGGCTGTGTCTGTGCTGCTCATGCGTCCAGGTAAGGTTCTGGAGCCCATCTCGGCCCCGCTGCCCGCCAGCATCCTTATCAGCGTCCCTCCCACCGGGCCCGGAAGATGGATCCTCCGGGTGCGCCGGAGAGACCCTCGGCGGGGCTCGGAGCTCCGCGCCGGGTCGGGGTCGACTAGCCGCACCGCTAGCTGCGTGGCTAACGGGGCTAGGCTAAGCGCTCAGCGGCTCTACAGCGACAGGTCGCCCGGTGAGTCCGTTAGAAAGCTCCGGGAGCCCGCGGGCCGTGAGGGGAAGCCGCCGGGCACACTTTCCGCAGGAAATCGATCCGGATCGATCAGAAATTAGAAAAAGTTGTGAAGTTGTTTTCACAGAGCAGCGAGGCCCGGCCCCCCACGGCTCACTCCGCTCCACATAAGGAAATGACGGGCAGCTTCCGCAGATATCCGTCCGCTCTGACAGGTAGTCCGGCACTTCACAGCCACTGCAGCCACCCCGCGGCTCGGAATCGCCTTACCTCTCACCGGAAGTGTCGGGGTAGGGAGTCTTTATGGTCTGGTGCGGACAGGTGCGAACTTACCGAAGCTTGTGCGCAATGATACGCAGTTCTGGGCTGTACGACCGGGACACCTTTCTCCATATAAAGAACGCGTTTCCTTTTATGGCCCCGCCTCTCCTTATATGGCCATCCTTCTTCCTGCACACCTCCAGCCTGAACAGCTGCAGCACGTGGAGATAGGAGGACGACTGTGGAAGCCCAGCTGTGCCAATATGACAATAATAAATAACACAAATAAAAAAGTGAAAAGATTTCATAGATTAGATTCGAGTGTCGGGTCGCAGCGTTACACCTGCTTTTATATATGACACGAGGAACATGGAGGAATGACCTGCTCCACGGCAGGAAAAACTGAAAGAACATGCTCAGCAACCTAAACCAAACATCCCGATAACATGCAACGCCCCGTGAGAGCGCTCAGGTCCTCATGATGGTGCTCTCTATTCAGACTCAAATACATAAAATTCCAGCCCAGAGAATGAGAGAGAGCTAAACCATCTGAACTTTGACCTTTGACTGTGGGGTCAAACCGTGACCTCAGTAACATGAAATCTGAATGATGTTCTAGAGTAGTAAAATGAAAAGTTATAAAGAAAAAACACAAACATGGGAAATAATAAAAGATGAAAAAGAACAACATGAAAAAAGAAATTGAAATAAAAACCATCAGATTTCATCAGACTGTTCATGGCTCCGCCCCCGTCACCTGTGATGAAATGTCTGTTTTCATGCAGCGTCCAGATTTCTCAGTACTAAAGTGAAAGTACCTCAAAGGAGTACTTCACAGTACACTAAACGTACTGAGTTACTTTCCAGACTGAAGTCAGATCAATACATCAGCAGAGATCAGTCTGAATCCTTTAATGAGTTTATTACATCATCACTCCTTCAGCCAATCAGTGAGCTGGGGCCTGCTGGGTGCTGCTTTGGAGTCACTAGTGCTGAACCAGGATCAGCCTGTAATCTCACCTCAGATTAGCTGCAGAGTCCGGCGGTACTTGCAGAACACACGCCATTTACACGCCACACGCAACATGTCGCTCAGCGGCGCTGCAGCCGGCGGCCCCCCCTGGAGGAACCACAGCTTCATCCTGGGAGGGGGGCGAGATCCCCCCCTGACTGACCAGGGGGAGACCATCATAGGAGTCTACCTACTGCTGCTGGGTGAGCGCGCACGCACACATTCACACACACACACAATCAGACACACATACAGACAAAAACAAACAGACACACACACAGACTCACACACACAGACACACACACACACAGACTCACAGACACACAGACACACACACACAATCAGACACACAGACACAGACTCACACACACAGACACACACACACACAGACTCACAGACACACAGACACAGACTCACACACACACAGACTCACACACACACAATCAGACACACATACAGACAAAAACAAACAGACACACACACACACACAGACTCACAGACACACACACACACAGATACACACAGACACACACACAATCAGACACACAGACAAACACACACACAGATACACACAGACACACACACAGACACATGTGCTGTGTCATCGTTGTGTCCTGCATCTGTGTGATGTTATTTGGCTTCAGTCTGTCAGTGATCAGCGATCAATACTCTGATCATGCTGTGGGCACAGCAGCACTCTCAGCTGCAGCAGCTTTGATGAGCTTCTCTGGCTGTGGGTAACAGAGCAGGTGTCGCTCTCACCTGTCTGCTGGACATCAGCTGCACTTTAAGTGTTCTTAGTAGTGACCTGCTGGATTACCCTCAGCTGCTCCTGTGTAGTACTGTGTGTACACTGTGTACTTACTGTACACACTGAAGTACCTGTATGCACCTGTGTGTTTCCAGGATGGATGTCCTGGTTCGGGAACAGCATCGTCCTCTTCGTCCTCTACAGGCAGAGAGCCTCGCTGCTGCCCACCGACTACCTGACCTATAACCTCGCCGTCTCAGACGCCAGCATCTCCGTGTTCGGATACTCCAGAGGAATCATCGAGATCTTCAACGTCTTCCAGGACAGCGGCTACCTCATCTCCTCCATCTGGACCTGCCAGGTACTGACGTCCCAGCTCAGACTCAGCCTGTGGTGGGACGTGACGGGCTCACCTGTGATGTGTTCTCACGCAGGTGGACGGGTTCTTCACGCTGGTGTTCGGTCTGAGCAGCATCTACACGCTGACCGTGATCAGCATCACACGCTACATCAAAGGATGCCACCCAAGCCGAGGTCAGAGGTCCGCCCATCAGGTGTTCACCATCATAGTGTTAACATGTTATTACCATGTCACCTGAGTGAGTGTGTGTGTTTCAGCGCATCACATCACCAGGACCAGTGTGTTCGTGTGTCTGTCGCTCATCTGGATCGCAGCTGGATTCTGGTCCGGGGCGCCGCTGCTCGGCTGGGGCAGCTACACAGGCAAGAATACCCTGACCTCTGACCCCTGACCCCCTCACAGTACAGGAAGTGGCTGCAGGTCTCTCCAGGGCGGTGCGTTAGAGTGAATGAGGCTCAGATAAAGCAGGGACCATAAAACACCAGTGTCCTGCTGCCGCGTGCTGATTGGTCTGTCAGGGGTCCGCTGCGCCCTTATAGAACAGGAAGTGAGCAGTGGAAGGCCTTCCTTTAGTGACAGTGTCTGTCGTCTGTGCAGATCGCGGCTATGGGACCTGTGAGATTGACTGGGCCAAGGCAAACTACTCGAGCGTCTACAAGTCCTACATCGTCTCCATCTTTGTGTGCTGCTTCTTCATCCCCGTGCTCGTCATGCTGTTCTGCTACGTGTCCATCATCAACACGGTGAAGCGAGGCAACGCGCTGTCGGCCGAGGGAGACCTGACCGACCGCCAGCGGAAGATCGAGAGAGACGTGACCGTCGTGAGTGTTTGTCGCTGTCATCTCCTGCCCACCAGAGTGCCGTTCGGGAAGTTCGATCACTTTCTCTGTCTCTGCAGGTTTCCATAGTGATCTGCACAGCCTTTATCCTGGCCTGGTCGCCGTACGCCGTGGTGTCCATGTGGTCCGCCTGGGGTTTCCACGTGCCCAACCTCACCAGCATCTTCACCCGCCTCTTTGCCAAATCTGCCAGTTTCTACAACCCGCTCATCTACTTTGGTCTCAGCTCCAAATTCCGCAAAGACGTGGCGGTCCTGCTGCCGTGCACGCGTGACGCCAAAGACACCGTCAAGCTGAAGCGTTTCAAACCCAAGGTTGATGGTCGTCTTGCCACAGGAGGCGGGGCCAGATTCAAAGTTCATCTGAGCCGGCCTGAAAAGAAGTACTCGTTAGTGAACCATCCCCACGAGGCCCTGACCCAGGACTCGGGGGCAGTGAGTCCGCCATCCACGCCGCCACCCGTCAACAAGGAGGTGTTCTACATCGACATGCCCCGCCCCTCTGAGACCAGTTCTGGCTTTGAATGCGAGAGACTCTGATGGACGACTGAAATATCGATCCTCGTTAAGTCTGGTCTATAGAGACTCCGCCCCATCGAGTGCTCGCACCGTTCTGTTTGGTGAGCGAGGAGTGGAGGTTAGCGTTAGACACCTGTGTGTGACCACGAGGAGAGGAAGAGCCCATAAAACCCTGATGATGTTTTATATAAAGTCTCAGTTTTGATAACCACTCAGTGTGAATTTGATTGAGTCACATGTTTCAATAAAGTTTTTTAGGAGCAAACAAAAGTGTCGTTTTTTGAATGTTGGCCGTTCTCTGTCCAGGCACTGGACAGGAAGTCGTAGAGGACACGCAGGAAATGATTTGAGGCTTGAATCCTGTGGAGCGTGGGTCTCCAGCTGGAGTCGTCTCAATGGGGTGGAGTAGTGTGATGACGGGAGCAGAAAGCTGCTCTCACAGAGGCTGAGGGTCTCTGAGCTGAAGGAGGGGAGAGTTCAGCTCAGAGAGCCTCCACAGGTGGAGGACAAAGCGATCATCTACGGCTCCTCTGATGGCGACTCACAGGAGCATGAGCTCACACAGAGCAGCTGCATACCTGCTGGATGATGGTAGGCGGGTGTGGGTGGGTGTGCTTCCTGTGGAGTCAAAGAGCACTCAGAGTTCGGACACACGTCTCCCGACTGCTGGTCAGAATGAACTGACCAATTAAGGCTGTGTGGGAGGGGGCCGAGATGAGGCTGTCACATGATCAGCCTCAGTCTGACCGCTAATCACAGTCCAGGCTTCAGTGTGAGTCTGCAGCAAAAATCAAACACACACACACACAAGCTCGTTACCTCCGTGCGCAGGTGTGCACGTTCACGCGGATTTGTGGTAAACGTGTCACAGCGCGCAGTCAGCAGGCGGCGCTGCAGCTCCGTGACTGCGGACAGAAGCCGGGTCCAGCCCCGCCCCCGCCTCTCCAGCCTTCATCCCGGTCGGAGGAGGATGAGGAGTCCGCCGCGCGCTGCTCTGTGACGAGGCAGCTTCAGTGGAACGAACCGGAGTGGAACCGCCAGAGCCCGGTGAGTCTGATCGATCCGTCCTATCGGTTTGAAAGCGTTACCATGATCGATCCGCGTGGGTGAGGGTCTCTCTGACACGCACACACAAACACACTATCCACGCTACTGACGATAGGAGCCAATCAAACACCGTCTGTTTTTGAGGAAGATGATGGTGATAATATCCGACCCTGACGTCATCGGCTATTGATCAGCACACACACACACTGCATTTGGTCACGCACTCATTTCTGCAAGTGTGCGCGTAACTGCAAGTGCACCTGTGAGACATGACGTCATGAGTCTTGAGATATCTGCAGACAGCAGGGGGTTCTGTGGGTCACGTGGTTCTCCGACAGGAGTTCTGGAGTAGATCAGCTGATGATGAAATTGACATCACTCTCGCCTGAGTGGACTCCTGGGAAGTGTAGTCCAGACTCGAGGCTGGAGGAACCGCGCGCGCACACACACACACACACACACACACACACACACACACACACACACACACACACACACACACGAGGATGTTTTTATAACTCAACTGTTAAAATTAAAGCTTCAAGTTTGCATCATTAGGGGCGTGGCCTCTCTGACTGACAGATAGCTTCACCTGAACTGGACCTCTGGACTGTGTTTGTGCTGTTGGAGCAGTTAAATGACATCAGTCTGTAGTAACAGACAATCCAGGAAGGACTCTGATTGGCTGTCACTGATTAAC